CTTCTTTAAGAGAACTAAACTAAACACATTCGAGTCCAATTGTAATCTTCATAAATGTATGACTAAATTCTCAAAAAATATATTTTTCTAGTACACACAATAAATTTATTTTTATTTTAGAGAATATAAAGTATTTTTTCTTTAATGTCAAAATACTGCTTTTTTTCTGATAAATTTGCAATTTTAAGAGTTTCTTCTCACAAATTTAAAATGTAAATTTTAGAGACTAAAGAGGTAGTTTTGTAATCTCAAAGAATACCTAAATTTCTTTGACTAATTTATTACTTAATCTCAGGAAATCTTGACTTTTCTTCTGCATTTGTGATTATGCAGAAGATTATTATGCAGTTGTAATTTTTTCACATATTTATGACCTCTTTTTTTCTAGACAACTTTCTCAAAAATTGTATTTCCCATAAATTTACAACTTTTTTTTTCTCTCTTTTCCTCGTAAATGATGTCCGTTTTCTGGCATTTTTGTGTTTTTGTATATTCATATTTGTTTTAGTGTGATTTTACAGCTTTTTAGTCTTGGAGTTTCTTTCCACAATCCTAGAACGGCCCTAACACATCTTCATATAATTGTAAACTACCAGAAAAAAAAGATTAGATACAATCTACAAGTGGGTTCAGATACAGTAAGATTTTCACTGGATGCAAAATATTGTGTATATTTGGAATGCTTAGACAGCCAAAACTGGTTTCCCTCACTTCCTTTTAAGCCATGTATGGACTTTAACTTTGGTAACTGCGAGCTATTGATAAGGGTGCATAGGATGTTTGTGTTTCATATGGCACAACTGCAAGCACACAACACAATACTGATGATACAGTCATTACAAAAACCACCGCCTGCATTTCCTGAATAAACACAGCTAAATGCTCAACACCACACATTAAAGAGACAAGATCCCAGTTTTCTGTTTGGTTAAATAAAAAGTATCCACAACCTGCTCATCACACACACGTGTATATATATATGTAAGCCAGCACAGAAAGAAGTCTATGAGAGAACAGTGAGCGGATGCAGCGACAGCACCAACGAACCCAAACTGAGAGGCAACCCGAGTGGCGTCCTGACTGTCAGGATCTCAGCTTCCTCTATGAGATTTCTCTCTCATTCTGCCCTTTTTTTGCTGAAGCACCTTTTAGAAATCTTTACAGCTACATGAGGGCTGTTAGGTGGAGAGGATTTTACACTGCACTGTCCATGATTTCTCCAACAGCACCCAGAAGCGATGGACCCCTGTTGGACAGCGCATGCATGTGTTAAGGAGCGTGGATCCATAGGTGTATGGCTGAGGCGCTCACCTGACTCCCAGACTGAAAACGCTACAGAAACCCCTGCATTATCTAAACTTTCACTACTTTCTAACACTTTCTACTCCTCTGCTACTGCTAATGGTTAATGGCTACCGATAGCATGTTGTCTACGCTTTACGTTAGCACTCTGCCAGCTACAAGCTAAGATGTTAGTGAGATAAATAAGATGCAGGGCTAGTGTAAGGTTTGAGATGTATGTACCCAGGACAGAGTCTCTTTAATGGGATTAGACGGTGGTAGGAAGTGAAGGATTGTCAACTGCCTCCACCTTCTGCTCCGGCGAGCAGCAGAGGAAGAGGCGGTTGCCCAGGCTCCTGAAGGCAAACCGAAAGTACATCATATGGCCCATGGCCACAAAGGAGACAGAGATGATGACCAGAAGGCCAAAGGCCTCTGGGTTTGGGGCCAGAATCACCATGATGAAGTGCAGAAGGTCTAAGAGGTAATTCATGGAATTCTGGACGCCGTTGATCACACCTCGCTCTGACTCGATCACATTCTCCTGGATGAGCTGGGTCACTGTCAGGTCAAAAGACCACAGACCTGCAGGGCAGAGGCAAAGATCAACAGTCAGCTCTAATAATCTTTTTATATCCATAATAAAACAGCTTCAGTACTCAACAGTAGCTCTACTAGGAATAATGAGGCAATATTACTGGCATCAAAGGTTGCAGATACTGCAGAGGTCCTGTGGGACATTCTTACAAGTTATATAACAGTCCAACTTGTCAAGCTGCTTGAGTCACCTGTCTGGAAGTGATAATTTTGAAAATTTGCTATCTGGTCAGAGGAAATGAACATGCCAATAAAGCATGAGCAGCAGTTCCTGAAAACTCCAATTTCCTAACGAATAAAATAAACACACCTAAGAAAATGGACATCAGCACTTTGGAGTGCGTGGACCTTTTTTATTACCAGTGTTATGACTATAATGTGCAGTGAGACCTTCCCTGGAGTCCACTTAATAACTGCTTCTGGCCCTACACTGATCATCTCCAGCAGGTGTTTTTATAGAAATTTTGTTTGGAAGACCTATCAAACAACAGTATGACCAACCCTGTTGTTGCACGACTTGAAATACAATAGTGTAGCATAAAAGTACAGTCGAAATAAGAGAGAGATGCAAGTCAAAACTAACAATGTTTTTTAAGCCTTTAAAATTCTCCAACCGTCCACTGACTCCTGATTTCAGACATATTCTTCTCCATCTGGACTCGGCCACTAATAGCTGGCGTACTAATCCATTTTGGTAAATCTCTGCACCGCATCTAAAATACAGCAAGTATTCCCAGATTGGGAAAAAAAATAAACTACTTCACTCACCAACTCTAGCAGCAATTACGCCAGCAAACAGCAGACTAACAGACATGTAGGACTGCATAGGTGGCAGCTCTTGGGTTGGTGCGGCAGTAGTAGGCATAGTGATGTTTCCACCGGTCAGGCTGTGGACAGCTTCAGGCAGGGTCTTCTCTCCAATCAGATGGGTGTAGAGGTCCTGGAAGGGTGACACGCTGAGGTCGAAGGGGCTTCCAGGAGCGAAGACTGAGATGACACACAGTATGAGGCAGGAGAGCTGGGCCATGCCGGAGATGAAGCCAGTGCGGATCAGGCCACACTTCTTGCGAACCCAAGTGAAGGCGACGGTGCCGCAGATGCCCGAGATGGCCGAGGCTCCCATCAGCAGACTGAGCACCGAGCCATTGAGGCCCTGTGTGTAGGCGTAGCCTGTGGTGATGCAGTCAAAGCCCAGCACCGTCATGTAAAGAAAGGCCAGTGAAAGGCCGGCGAAGAAGATGTTCTGGTTGTAGTAGGCCACCCAGCCGGCCTTGAAGGTGCGCACGGGTTCAGCCATCTGGTAGCAACAGCTGCGCTGTTTGGGAGAGTCAGACTTGGCAACAACGGAGGTTTCGTTCATAAGTGGCTGAGATGACTCCTCGGGACTCTGGCCATTCTCCAAATCTGTCAAAGGGCAGAATAATGGAGGTTCTCGATTACCAAATCTAAAACACAGTCAGTTTTATTCCCCAACGATACAAACAGATAATGCTGCACTTGCCTTTTGTAGGGCTGAGCTGTTTGAGCTCCTGCTGCTGCTCCTTCTGTCCAGCTTTCACAGCCAGCGCGGGCGTCTTCTGGTAGACCTTCCACAGCAGTGCGTACTCCACACACATGGAGCACAGGTTCCAGCCAGAGATGAAGCCACAGCCAACGAAATGAGAGCCAAAGGCCATAATCTGGCCCACTAACATGGGAGCCAGGATGTTGGTCAGCTGGTCAATAATCCGCACTGTGGCATTCATGTCTGTTTGACAAGGGAGTGGAAGTAGGAGCTAGTTAGTTTAACAGCTAATTTAACACATTGACATAAAAAAGCTGATTATGGTCTTAAAATTCGTGTTTACAGTAATATAAACTAAGAACTAGCACAAGCGGATTGATAAGGGTCAACCAGTTCAAAGTGTTGTGCACCATGTGACCAAATCTTTCTAGCAGCTTGTCACAATCAATGGAAAACTGCAGTGACATAAAAAAAAAGAAAAAGAAATGTGAGCGAGTCAGCATCCGGGGTTCAAAGTCCTCCCAGCTGAACATATGACCTGATAACAGATCATATGAGGCCTACATCTGAAGATAAGCCACCAGTCGATAGCAAACACCTACCTGCCAACTTGCTGCTGTCCTGACCTGCTACAACAACCACCCAGTCTCTCTGGATGGTAATGGACATGGCCGTGCTGGCAAGGTTGGCAATGTTGGCGATGGTGATGACCAGGATGTAGCAAGTCGTCTGAAAATGATAAAAAAAAAAATGTAACAGTAGTTTTATATTTGGACTGACTTTGTGTGATAAAATGACAAATACTCCCATGAAACATGAAAAACTAAGAATCGGATAGATCTAACTCCCTCATGTCATCGAATTCCATTGTAGTCCAAAAACCTCAGTATTAAGCCACAAAGCTACACAGTTCAGTCCTTTTCGATGAACACATATTTGAGTTATGTTGATTTACACAATCTCCTCAAGACCAACAAACTCAGAGGAAAAAAGGAGACAATTTAGGTTCAACTGGAGCGGCTATCCTTGAACCGAACTGGTGGCCTATGTCACCAGCTATCAGTTACCTGTAAAACAATCTTGAGATCCCTTCCTAGGCAACTGAGCTGCCATTCACACCTCCACCACTGTGACCTTAATGACTCACAAACGTCCTCACACGTCTGGGTGTGCCTTGACAATTTCCAAGATCACAGCCCTATAAGAAGAAAAACACCTGCAACTCCTCAGCCTTTCAGATGAAACACCTAAAAGGAGCTCAGCTGCCTTCGACTAAAGCATGATTATTTTATATATTCTAAAATAATATATTATTATTTTAGAATATATAAAATAATCATAAATAATATATTATTATTTTAGAATATGATTTTTATTTAACGTTTAACATTTACAAGGTCATCCATAAACCCATCAAGAATTCAGGTTCGAGTTCAGGTTAACATCTTTTTTGGAACACCCAAAAAGAAAAGCCTGCAGTCCCAAGCTTGATGTGTACCTCGTGGCATGTTCTGGTTTATGAAAATCTGCCTATTTAGCATGTGGTTGAATCTAAATCCAATACGGGGTTTGGTTGGAGTGTCAGAGAAAGTACACATGAGTCCACTGTTGCTTTTTAGAGGATAGCTAGAGCCAGCTTTAGCACTGTTTCTCCAACTCTTTGGATTTCCAATGAAAGAATTAACACCATTAACTTAATTTCTCGATCTGTTGGACAGCACTGTCTTAAGCTTTATTTTACCTGTCATCCCTTTAAGGCACTGAGTTTCACAGATTTTTTCTGGGCTTTGGTCCCCTTTTCCATGTTTCCCATTTAAAATACTGGGACAAAATCTCCCATTGGAAGAGACATTTATGTTTCATCACTGATGGATCTGTATTGATCCATACTGATTTGACCTTTGACTTAAAAAGGAGTTGTTTCTAGGGTGGAGGAGGGGTCCAAAGTAGTCATTCCTGTTCCAGTACAGCTGCACAGTTTAGCCAAGGGAACAGATAAATATATTTTTAAAAAAGATTCAATATGCATATTTTTATTTATCTAGCTTGCCTAATTTTTGTGCCTTTGTGAAATTTTATCACAGGGTTATACTCTCCATTTTGCAGTCATTTATGGTCATGTTTGTTTCTGCTGTGACGGTTTAAGGGGGAGGGGCAGTAGGAAATATGAGACGGGAGAACAAAAGATAGAGGCTAGAGCTGACTGAAGGGCAGAAAAAGCTTCCCAGCAAGTGTTCAATCATCTAAAAACATACTGAATAGACACCAACTGACCCCAAATGTCTAAGTCTGATGACAGGGAAGCTAGTCCTGACTAACCTGGGGGGGCATCACCCGGACCCACTAAGCAGTCTACCAAGGGGAAACACCACCAGAGTAATTATTAAAAATACGATGAGGCTAAACATAAATTACGTAAGGTTGTGCACTCCGCTACAATCTGCAGTAAATGCCAAAACTTACAAAAACAAACACTAGAAAAATGTCAATGTTGGCTACACCACAGTGGATAACAGAGAGACGGCAGTGTGAGCTGAGTGTCAATTGAGAGTATGAAGCCCAACAAGCTCAGATGGAATCTGTCACAGTGATGAACATCTTCAGGAACTTGTCTTCAAAAAGTGGGTCATTTTAACTGGCTGCAAAGCATGGACCAGATCCCTCAACAGAAGGTGTCAAGGGTAAAGGGAACATGAGTTTCTCAACTTTTTCTAACTCTCAAAATCCGACCTGATTAGCTGATAACAATGGCAAAAATCTTTAAGAATGAAATCAAATGCCAACCGTTCCCACTACGTGTCAAATCAATAACTTCCTGTTGAAAAAAAAAATCTATATCATTAGTTAAAATTAAAAATTTCAGCAGAAACTGCACATTTTTCTGAAGCAGACTCTGTTTGTGGGTCTGTGCATGCATTTTCACACAGCTGCTCTGGTCAGTATAGAAACAATAAAAAAACAGAAATGCTTCAGCAGGCCCAGCCACATTTCTCTCTGTGTCATGTGACTGGCCTTGAACAACCTGCTGACTGCACGGCGTTCAGCAAGACACTAAATCTCCTGTTTCACCAGTCTCTCACCACCTCCACCAGCACTCCGACAACAGCCAGCCCTCTGAACTCTCTGACCGCTAGAGAAATAGCCCCATTTTCCCACAGATACTGCAAACACAAAAGAACAACGCTGGAGGCCTTCTGTGTTTCAACCCGACACCCAAACCCGTCTCCTGTGATGAACGGAAACTTGAACAGTTTGCAGTTCTGGATCTCTGGATCGCGGAGATCAAAATATTGACAGTGAGGGAGCTCCTGTTTAGTCACATAGCTCAACAAGTGTAAAAAAGAAATAACTGAAACACTTTCCTGGTCCCCAGTAGCTTTCCTGTTGTAGTATGTATGTACTCGTATGTTAAATCTACTGCAGGCTTGAGAATCTACTTGTTTTCTAACCCCCTTTACTCAAGATTCAAGATTTGTCTTGAAGTGAAGTCAAACTTTAGAGAAAGTCTTTACTGACTTTCTCCTGGAAGTGTTTCACTTTTTAACTGTAATGCTTCACATCTGCATTCAGGGAGAAAAACTGAAGTCAGGTACAGATTTAGCTACAGAGAAGTTTATGTGGACACTCTTGGATCAATGCATTAATAAATAAATAAATCTGAGTAATCCTCCACATGACTCCTTCAGAATCAGCTAATTATTTCAATCTGAGTTTATTTAATTGATCCAAAGCAAACCTTTACCGGCACACTTTGAATGTTTCAGAGTTGCTGAACCTGTATTCAAATTTTTGATTTTTCCAATATTTTGAGCCCTCATACCTTCATAATCAAACGAGATATACATCTGAAATTTTCAGGTCTGAAAAACTCTGTTAAAACTAAAAATAAGTCAACTTCACAGCCACTCCAAGTGTCACAATCTAAGGAAAAAATCTCATTTTTGTACAGTACTATGAAGGTGATTTACGTCTTAACGTGCCATGGTAACCTGCTCCAGAGCACGTTAAGTTTCAGATGAAAACCAACGGGTATGAAATTAACTCCTACTGACCAATCTTCAGAAAACAGCATCACCATTCCTAAAAGATTTCATTACGAGGAGAATAGGAGCATTTTAATGTCTTTGTGTTTCCCTGATAAATATAGATCTTTTGACGCAACTTTATTTCATTTAGTTTTTTTTATCTGTTGGCAATCAAAACTCTACAACAATTTTATTTTACTTTAATCGTTAACATTTGATCCTAACCAGGACACCTCCACTTTAATTGCTGACATCATATCTAATGTGTAAACTACATTTGAATATTGATTTTGTATTTAATCTTTACTCTCAAACCCTTAAATAGTAAAGACTCCACAGCAGGGCAAAAAACCCTCAGCCTCAGCCAGAAAATAATTAAGTGTAATTAAAATTTTTATTTTACTGCTCTGTACACTAAAGATCAGAATAATGGTTTTCTGCATTAACTGTTTCTTTTTAACAACAATGTTGCGTTTTGGTGTTATATTTAAAAAAAAATGTTTTTTAGAGATTTGTGATCACCATTTGATCATAATGTGATAATGTCTCTGGCTGGAGTAGGTGACACTCATAGGGATTGCTTTCTCTGGACGAGTCATATGATCATGTGAACGTGCAGGTCTGAGGTGATAACCAGCTTTGTATGATAAACTCTTTCGTAGTACAAGGTGCTGGATTTGCTATGAAACACGTAGCAGCTTATCACCAACGCTTATCAGCTTTCGCTTCTTCAAGTTACATCCTGAAGAAGACAAAAGCTGCTACGTGATGGTGTAATTTACAAGTACTTCAGTTGTGTAAAATAAAGGCCTTAATTAATTTTTCAGACCTACCTTGTTCCCTGACACGAGCACCAATGGTTTAACAGACATGAGTAGTGCTACCTGATCCAGGTACAGTTTTTAACAGAACTTTAATGTGAATATCATTGGTACTTATAAACGTTATGAGGGATTAGAAATTTGGGATAAAACTCATTTAACAGAGTGAAAACGGGCCCACTCCTGTGTACTCTGAGGGCCTAGAAAATATTCATAGTATGAATGTATGAATATAAGGTTCTCAAGGTTCACTGAACTATGGGAACCTTTCTCGGATTTGACTGATTTTATTCAGAATAAACTTCATGTAAACTCAGTTCAAGTGCCATGTTTTGTCCAACTGCCTCAAGAGCGGCGTTATTTAATTTAAGGAGGAACTGATGACAATAGAAAGAGTTTTGCAAATATGAATACTGCTATGTCTTGAAATTTTAACTTGCTTTGGTGTTAAACTGTTAGCAGTCGGACGTACCGCCCACGGGACATTGGATGGTTTATGGGACTAATAGGACTGCTAAGGGGTTAACTGTTGGGTCTTTCCCTTGAAATCATGAGCAGAGAGAAAGAGGAAACTTAAATGAGGAATTATTGATTTCTTATTTATTATAAAAACAGAAGTTCAGTCTGTTAGAGAGAAATTTGTACTCATCAGCAGTCATGTGTACACCGGATTAGATTTGAAAGAAAAAAAGTTTAAATATCTAAATAATTGATTGCTGTACTACAAACTAATTATGTGTATTACTCATTTTCACTTTCACATTTTACTGTTTTTCCACTGTTAACTGTGTTTGAATTATTTGATATATTGAAGTGAATGGGTGCTTTTAGTTTGCATTAGAATAAATTATCTGATAGGCCTTTTATTTTTTAATTTTCTATTTAATTCTTTTTTTTTTTTACTATTTTTGATGCTTCAGTAAGTATCTGTGGGAGTCCACTTCAGGCTGTGTCCTGATAGTCGCTTGATAAGACAGGTTACACCCACAAATATTTTAGAAACAGGCTCTTTCTACTGCTTTAAAAAAAAACAATACTCAAGTGTAAATTCTACAGATTTTGTTCATCGATTTGCTTATAATAAGTTTATGATTTCAAGATGATTAACTTGAGTTCAAATGAACATTAAAAAAATTCTAGTGGAGCTGTTGCAATCCTCTGTGGATAAGCTGTGCTCACTCCATAAATCACACTGACGGGGGAACTCGCATCAGTGAGTGAAAGTAGGAACGTTTCAACCTCAGCTTAAAGAAAGGAGGTAAAAATGCTTTCAGTGCAAATCCCCACCAAAACAGGTTGAAACAGGACAGGGGATCTTACCAGAATCCATCCATTGTAGAGCTCCGTGAGCTGGTCTTTGAACTGGAAAACAAGCATGAGGAGGACCCCGCACGCGATGACACAACTGTTCTGGACCAGCAGCGAAGTCTGGGCCACTGTGGAAAGACCACGACAGCCATTAGGGACAGAGATCTGATCAGACACAACACATTCATTATGGTGCAAAGAAGCTCATTTCATGTCTTTGCCAAATTCCTCTGTGTAATTATTTTCCAGTTTAACTGTTAAATGTCTGTGTTCAAGGGAATTCATGTTCACAGTCAAACACCTGGTTTTACATCCCAGACTGAAGTAACTATTTACAGTTTTCTTTGTCCTTGGCTGACGGTGTTGACTCAGGGCAAGCTACAGGTCCTGGCCCTTATATGGGCCAAATGTCAGAGGTGTTGTGACATCTGACCAGCAAAAAGAACTGCCAGAAACCCAATTCAAGCCCACCAAACTGAGCCAAAAAGTGCCACACATAACCCAGATTAAACTTACCTTTAAGCCTGGGGTTTTTGTCCACCCAGTCCCCGATGATGGCTCCCAGCAGGAGCACCGAGCCAGCCACCACCAGCCCATACACGGCAGTGAGCAGCAGGCTGTTCCCGTACAGCTCCACCAGGAAAACTGCCACAGCGAAGTTCCACATCCGGTCACCCTGAGGAATTTAAATTCAGATATTCAGATATTTAAAGCTATTTGTATATAGAGCACTGTGTGGCTAGCTGCAGGTGCAAAAATAAGTGAGTTTGCACAGTTGTAATGACATATAAAACAGCAATAACAAAACTAATAACGCATTAGGTTTGATTTAACACTGGATGGCCACAAATAAATATAGTCATCAAGGTGAACATGCATACATTTACTGTGTGATGTCAGTTAGATGGACATGAGCATGGTTATAATACAATGCTGGTTATAAACAGTGTGTGCTCACCCATGTTGACAGAGCGTGGCCCATGTAGATGAGAAATTTGGCCGAGGTGAAGAAGTCTCGGGTGGATTCTGTGGAAAAAAACATGTTACAGCTGGTGTTCGATACCCATCTGTGACACTCAGGCTCCTCTCCTGGGAAATATTCAATAATTTCTCCTGCAACAGAAAAACAACTCACCCATGCACGTCTTTTTAGTTCCAGAGTTATCCATTTTAAAGCTCTTCAGATAGAAACAACCGGCTTGATATGTCTAATATATATTCTCTCTTTTCTGCTAGATCCCCTTTTGTAATGCAAAAGGAGGTCGACTCCGACTACCTCTGCACCTAACTGACACAATAACCGGAAAAAACAAAAGAAGACACGGCGTTTCTCCCTTTTTCTCCTCTCCAAACTTAGCTATCACTGTAGCTGAAGTTGGAAAGAAATGATTTTATAGCCCGAAAGGCCGGGTGGGTCGCAGGGACACGAAACCGGGAGACGAGCTCCTGTCAGCTGGGCTCCTGTGGACTGTCTGCTCGGCTCTGCTCTCCGCAGCTGCTGCTGCTCTGTTTACGACCCGCCTCGAATATACCCCGCGCGGTCACGTGACTGCCCTTTCTTTACCCCTGTGTCAAAAACAGACGCGGTCCTGCCTACTTAAAGAAAAAAAAAGAAGAAAAAGGAAAAAAAAAAAAGCACTATAGGAGCAGAAAATGGTGTCATTGTTACCTTGTTACAGTTAAACCCTCCGGTTCCTCTCACAAAGGTGAGCTTCGGTTTTAAATGTTCCCCTCCTCCCACTTGTTTACCTCCTAGCAACATGCATGATTATTTACTATTATTATTATTATTATTATTATTATTGAAAAGAAATTCAAGTTTTATACAGACATTTAAGAAAAATAATAAAGATATAAATAAGGAAATTAAACTGTTGGGTAACTATAATGGACACGAAATTGAAATTATTAGCTAATAGCATGCATGACAGTTAAAATTGTTAGCTAAAAAATACATTAACAATGTTTTTAGCTTAAATATTTTGAAAGACAATTAAAAAAATGTGAATAGTAATAAATGTGTTGAATATAAGGCTTTCCCTCCTTGCGGGGGTTCTGCAGGTTTCTTCCTGTTAAAAAGGAGTTTTTCCTTCCCACTGTCGCCAACTGTCTGACCATAGGGGGTCGTCTGATTGTTGGGGTTTCTGTCTAATATTGTAGGGTCTTTAGATTATAAAGCAGATTGAGGCCACTGTTGTTCTAAATTGGTGCTATATAAATTAAACTCAATTGAATTTATTGAAAATGGATTACATTGAATATAGAACTGCCTAGCAAGGAAGAGGAAGACCACAGAGGAGGTTCAAAGATGCAGGGGGGTTGTGTCACAGAGGAAGGTGCTAGGGATAGGTTAAGATGGAGGGAGATGATCCGCTGTGGTGACCCCTAAAGAGAACAGCCGAAAGAAAATCAGGAGAATATCAAGGCCTGTTGAAGTTTCAGATTGAAGTGACCACTAACCAATTATCTGCCATTTTTGCTGTGACCATTTGCCAAAACTGGTTGCCAGGGAAAAATCTGTATTCCTCAACCAGTTTCTCTGTGGTTGCTTGAGGTTGCTGAAATTAGTCACAAAGAAGTGCAAATTGCTGCACCACAAAAATCTTTGCAATCGCTTTCTTCTCTAGCAGATTGCAGCAGTCGACCGCAATTTGCATGGAAGACACCGACTGCAAACACTCACCAAAGTCTCTCCAAGCATCTATGAAACTGTGAAAAATGCAACAAAAGCACAAACAGAGAAAATCCGTCTTCAAAATAAAAGCACCACCTTTTGAAACATGTCTGGAACACAGAGGCACAACTTTTACTTTGAAGGTGAATGTTTTTTGCACTTTTAAAAGTTTTATTTCAATTTTACTATTAGTTGGAGGGTGTTGTAGACAATTCTGCATCTTCCATTCAAACTACAACGAACAGCAACAATCTGCAATCATAAGGATGTTTTTGGAGCAGCACCTTCTGTGTGACTGATAGTACCAACAACCACCAGCAACCACTTGCCAGCTTCTGATCTGATATGGTAGACAACCCCAAAGCATATTTTAATAGATATTAAAATACAGTTAAAATATAGTTGAAAGGATTAGAAATAAAACATACTGGAGAGTTCTGCATCAGCAAAGATGGTGGTGAAAGCGTAAAAGTCAACAAACTGTTTAAGCATGTGTTTTTTTATATGACATATATGTCATTATAACAATTTTATGTTCTGGTGACCACAATAAAGTTAATTTAGATAACTGAATGAGTGGCAAGACTTGCTTCTACAACACAGATTTTATAAGTTGTTCACAGATCCAGAATCCAATGTGGAAGTCCCTTAAACATGATTTTCTGTTAATGGCCAGCAGAGGGCGACTCCTCTGGTTGTATAGTTCAGCAGTCCCACATGAAGTGGAACATGAAGTTCACTTTGTAAATTGTGTTTTTTATTGGAGTCTGAAAGAAGCATAAACCACAGTTTGCTTCAGCATGTGATTAACAATTCTCTGCACGCATGTAGCTTGTGACATCTGGTTTCAAAACGGGAACATAGTGAAGGTGAAAATGTTCACCCTGGACTTTGCTCAACATTATGATGTCACAATTTCTTTGGCCATCTTTGATATGCAGTCTATGGTATTTAAAGTTACATATTGTATATACAAGGCATTTAAATGCTTTAAAACACTTACATAAATTTTAACTGATGCATTAAAACACCATGACGCATGTGTGACCTACACATTTGTACCGTTTCCAAATATTATTAGTGCTTCATTGAAGTATAAGTATTCTTTTGTGAAAATATGTGAAAAGTTTTAGAGCTAGTATGATTCTTTTGCATGCCATTCTTTCTTTTAAACTGAATCAGAGAAAAGCCAAAGACCAAGGGAGAGCAGAGTTATATCAAAGGTTAAAGATTAATGGAGCGTTTTCTGCCCACGTGATACCACATACAAAAGAAACTTTTGGTTATTGCGCTGACCTAGTGGAGCTGTTTACCTCCTACTTGCTGCTGCAGGTGAGTTTGGAGGTAAAACTTGTGTACATAGTGCACATTCGGATGACTTGCATTCGTGCACTTTGTCAACAGAACAGTATTACAGCTGTAATTACAGCTTGCATGGATGAAGCCTCCTCGGGCCACAATAAACACTCAGTGAACACCTGCATGTATGTCTCTTTTAACTGCACATTGTATGAACTCTGATCAGCTGAGTGAGACCCTCACTGAAACATCATGACTGCTCTCCAGTGACACAGTTTAGGTTTTTTGAGGTTTTTTTTTAGCACACTCCAGTGAATAATACCCACACATACAGCCCTGTATTGTGCTCGGTCCTGTGGGGGCAGGTTCTATGTGGCTTTCATATTATACCACAAAGATCAAGTGCTTTACTTTTGTTGGGTTTGATGCAAATTTAGAGCTGTTGTTTTTATCCATTTGCAACACAAAACTTTGCACAAACTCAACTAAACCTTCCAGTTTTACCACCTCAGCCCTGCGGTGTTACGAAAGCTTAAGTATGAAAACAAAAATGGACTCTGTGAAGCTCCTAATCTGTCTCAAGGTCAAAAACACCCACAAACACACTGAACGCAGTCCATCAAAATGACATGTGACAAAGCAGAGCCTCTTTGCTCTTTGTGGGAGGATCTCATTGCAGTTCTGTTGGTTACTTAAATCCTTGTTGCAAAATTACTCTAAAATCTGACGACCGGTTGCATCACATTCTGAAGTGTAGAAAGAAAAACTGCAGCTTTGTGATGCATAAAAACAAATGCATCTCCAGAATTCTTTATAGGTGAGCATTCACGTCTAATTTGGCACTAAAGTATTGTTTACGATGTCCAAAATGCTTGTGATGTGTTTTAATGATCTTCATCTTCTTCCTTTCATAAATATTATTGCACTGGGTAAAGTAGTATAAGCAGGAGATGGTCACTCATTTCCTGCTTATTTATAGCCATGAGAAAAGTTTATTCAAGGCTGGATTTCCAAGAGAAATCAAAGAGCAGAT